TAAAAAAATTGTTGAACTCGAGAGACGGCCGATTTTAGTTACTCCATCGTCTGTAACAAATTCCAGCAAGGAGCGCCAAGGTTCAGAAAATTACTAAAGCGTAGTATATTCATCCCCGAAGAGACTACTATTTATTTAATTGCAGAACATGACCGATTAATTCGCTAAAAAAATTGTTGAACTCGAGAGACGGCCGATTTTCGTTACTTCATCGTCTGTAACAAATTCCAGCAAGGAGCGGATAGGTTTTAAAAATTACTAAATCGTAGTATATTCATCCCCGAAGAGACTACTATTTATTTAATTGCGGCACACGACCGATTAATTCACTAAAAAAATTATTGAAATCGAGAGTCGTCCGATTTTCGTTAATTCTTCGTCTGTAACAATTCCAGCAAGGGGTGGCTAGGGTTTAAAAATTACTAAATCGTAGTATATTCATCCCCGAAGAGAATACTATTTATTTAATTGCGGCACACGACCTATTAATTCGCTAAAAAAATTGTTGAACTCGAGAGACGGCCGATTTTTGTTATTTCATCGCCTGTAACAAATTCCAGCAAGGGGTGGCTAGGTTTAGAAAATTACTAAAGCGTATTATATTCATCCCCGAAGAGACTACTATTCATTTAATTGCGGCACACGACCGATTAATTCGCTAAAAAAATTGTTGAACTCGAGAGACGGCCGATTTTCGTTACTTCATCGTCTGTAACAAATTCCAGCAAGGGGTGGCTAGGTTTAGAAAATTACTAAAGCGTATTATATTCATCCCCGAAGAGACTACTAGTCATTTAATTGCGGCACACGATCGATTAATTCGCTAAAAAAATTGTTGAAATCGAGAGTCGGCCGATTTTCGTTACTTCATCGCCTGTAACAATTTCCAGCAAGGAGAGCCAAGACGAATTAATCGTTCGTGTGCCGCAATTAAATAAATAGTAGTCTCTTCGGGGATGAATATACTACGATTTAGTAATTTTTAAACCCTAGCCACCCCTTGCTGGAATTGTTACAGACGAGGAATAACGAAAATCGGACGACTCTCGATTTCAATAATTTTTTTTGTGAATTAATCGGTCGTGTGTCGCAATTAAATAAATAGTATTCTCTTCGGGGATGAATATACTACGATTTAGTAATTTTCAAACCCTAGCCACCCCTTGCTCGAATTGTTACAGACGAAGAATTAACGAAAATCGGACGACTCTCGATTTCAATAATTTTTTTAGTGAATTAATCGGTCGTGTGCCGCAATTAAATAAATAGTAGTCTCTTCGGGGATGAATATACTACGATTTAGTAATTTTGAAACCCTAGCCACCCCTTGCTGGAATTGTTACAGACGAAGAATAACGAAAATCGGCAGACTCTCGATTTCAATAATTTTTTTAGTGAATTAATCGGTCGTGTGCCGCAATTAAATCAATATTAGTTTCTTCGGGGATGAATATACTACGATTTAGTAATTTTTAAACCCTGGCCACCCCTTGCTGGAATTGTTACAGACGAAGAATAACGAAAATCGGCCGACTTTCGATTTCAACAATTTTTTTAGCGAATTAATCGGTCGTGTGCCGCAATGACTAGTAGTCTCTTCGGGGATGAATATAATACGCTTTAGTAATTTTCTAAACCTAGCCACCCCTTGCTATAATTTGTTACAGGCGATGAAGTAACAAAAATCGGCAGTCTCTCGTGTTCAACAATTTTTTTAGCGAATTAATCGGTCGTGTGCCGCAATTAAATCAATATTAGTCTCTTCGGGGATGAATATACTACATTTTAGTAATTTTCTAAACCTAGCCACCCCTTGCTGGAATTTGTTACAGACGTTGAAGTAACGAAAATCGGCCGTCTCTCGAGTTCGACAATTTTTTTAGCGTATTAATCGGTCGTGTGCCGCAATTAAATAAATAGTAGTCTCTTCGGGGATGAATATACTACGCTTTAGTAATTTTCTGAACCTTGGCGCTCCTTGCTGGAATTTGTTACAGACGATGATGTAACGAAAATCGGCAGACCCTCGAGTTCAACAATTTTTTTAACGAATTAATCGGTCGTGTGCCGCAATTATATAAACAGTAGTCTCTTCGGGGATGAATTTACTATATTTTAATAATTTTTGAAACGTAGCCGCTCCTTGCTGGAATTTGTTACAGACGATGGAGTAATTAAAATCGACCGTCTTACGAGTTCAACAATTTTTTTGGCGAATTTATCGGTCGTGTGCCGCAATTAAATAAATAGTAGTCTCTTCGGGGATGAATATGCTACATTTTAGTAATTTTTAAAACCTAGCTGCTCCTTGCTGGAATTTGTTATAGACGATGAAGTAACGAAAATCGGCCGTCTCTCGAGTTCAACAATTTTTTTAGCGAATTAATCGGTCGTGTGTCGCAATTAAATAAATAGTAGTCTCTTCGGGGATGAATATACTACGCTTTAGTAATTTGCTGAACCTTGGCGCTCCTTGCTGGAATTTGTTACAGACGATGAAGTAACGAAAATCGGCAGACCCTCGAGTTCAACAATTTTTT